AATGTGATGGAAAGAGGTTAAATAAGAAACAGTTAAAATTCCACATGAATACGTTTGTTAATGCAACAAAAAATGTGCCAGGCCATCCTCCTCCTACCACTTCCTGTCTTTGTCTGTTCCTCCAGGGTCGACTTCCGGTTTGTTGATGATATGGGTCAACGTCACGAGTGTGATGTGGAAAAAGCAAAAACCAAAAACAGCCACCTTATCTTAGCATAAAACTTACACAAAAAGTTAGTTTTTATAAAATTGGCATGTTTTCATTAAACAAATTTATTTTTGAATCCCAATTTGCATAATAATATTTTCAATGGAAACACAGCGACTGCTGCAGTTATGAATGTAGCTAAACTTAAATGCACGGATGAGTTTCTCTAAATATTGCTGGAACATTAGTCCTTCAATCCTGGAAACGTCTCTGCAGGTGACAGAAGGCCGACGTTGTAACTGTCTTCCTGTGACTCTGGAGGTTCAGGTCTGAGCTCATCACTACGGATTTCAGACCTTATTTTTAGTATTTTAGTAAAAGCTGAATCTGTGTTGACTCTTGGTCATTCCTTGTTATGTTTGAAGATAATTACCTCAGTTTTGCCTTGAACTACAGTCAACCTCCTTTCACTAGAGTTATACTTACAGTCACTGTGGAGAACAGCTTCATTTGTACTGGGATTATACTGAAAGCAAGTGGTTGCCCTGGATTTTATTAAGTGGTGTCAGAGTGAAATTCTGCCATGTAAAATCCTAAAAAACTACACTGACTGTTGCAGCTATAACATGACTCTGAATCTGAAAAGGTTCAAAAACTTTTTGGAGGCAGTCTCCGCCGCTTCATTGCTTATCTCTGCTGACTGTTCAACACCTACAGATCTCACCAGAACATACATGTTTGAGTTTCACTCATAAGAGGAACAACATTAACACCCAGAGCGCTTATTTGTGCTCAAGTATATCAAAATAACAGAGTGCAAATTTGAAACGTCACGGAGGATATAAATGGAAATGAAAAGACATCCAGTCCTCTTGCCTTTAGCCTGCGGGTCACATTTTCTTCGAAGTTATTGAAATAGCATGGAGCCAGAAGAAGAAGACGACGAAAAAAAGAAAACTCAATTATATAAGCAACACTGATCAGCCTACAGATAGCCGCCCACCTGAGGCTGCCTCTGCATCTTCCACATATATTGACAGATTTCTTATCTTTTTTTTTTTCTCTCTCTAGATTTTCAAACAAACGTGGAGATTGTGTACAAATCCTGTTTCCCCACCATCTGTTGAATTCCTAGCATATATTTTGTGCTTCCTGGAGAAAAGGTTAATTTATGGGCAGGATTTAGGGAAAAAAAACAAAACAAAAAAACATCTCCAGCTGGATAAACTCTTTAAATGTCACTGTCTGTTTTCTGTTAAGAGAAATAGAGCCTCGCTAAGTAACAACCAGAGCATTGTATTACCGTGCTCCACAGATGGCAGAGCTCCTGTTCTAATGAATTCGCAAACACGCCCGGGAGAAAACATGCTTGACCTGTAGGGAGGTGAATGGATTTCTGGAGAAGTATTGACAGGGTTGTCCTAACAAGAAAAAAGCAACCTAAGAAGTCATGCACTCCTCTATAATTGCCTAAAAGACTAAAGAGGACAATTACTGAGCCTCCTGAGATGTTCTGTAACACAACTGATCGCTGTTGCATTTGTGCTTCCGTATGGAAAATTACGGACTATGACCCTTATGTTGCTGATGGGCAAAGAGTTTAATCTCAAAGGAAATGTTGCACTTAAAAACATAATGCAGCTATTGTAGAATGTTACATCTTTTGTGTCCCAGTCAAATGAAACGGTTTAAAATGTAGATCTTTATTTCCTGCTTACGTACGAGTTGGAGGTAGCACAGCTAGCTTGCGTAAGACATTAGAAAAGTTATTTTGCTGAAAGTCAGAAAATCACTTAAGTTGGAGTCAAATTGAAGTTGACATAGGGCTGCGTCCTTCGAAGGCAGCATTTGAAGTCAGAGCCATGAGACGAAGGTCGTCCTAATTTAATGGCTCCTCCCACAAATTTGTTCTTCTTTCCATGGATTTAATGGTCTGGTGTATCCTGTGTTTATTTATTATTTATTATCAGCCTAATAAATTCCAAGATTCATTGCAGGTGAAAAGGGAGATTTTTGTTCCTGGTTAATAAAGGTGGACAAATAGGTGATACATACGGGTATGTTCAAATGAGGTGGGAAAAAACGAAGAGGAAGACTGAGTGTTTGTGTTGTTAGGCGCAGACATTTAAAAAAAAATATCTTCTTTGAAAGAGTCAAAAAGGAATCAATAAGTGATAAAAAGGAAAACTTATTTTAGTCTTAATTTTTCCCATGTCGAGCGTCGCGCTGCCATGATCGCGAGGCAACAGGACATAAGACAAGGTATGTCCTGACAATAAATAGGAAGACTGGACCATCCAATTTCATATCTGTGTCAATGATGAAGGACCTGAGATTACTGACATTATTGCTAACATAATATCATTTGATATTTGCATTTCATGGTTTGTATCTCATTAACTCAATGACATGCACACTACTGTGTGTGACTCATTTAGTGTCTGAATGCACAATGTGCATTCAGACACTTCTGTGATTCTGTGACGTTACTGGTAGTTGGCGTAGTTACTGAACACAAATCCTGGTGTTGAGTTTCCAATTGAGCACATTTGTGAACTGAGCTTCCTGATATACGGGTTAGTCTGCACATGTCTTGACGAAGAGGATATATACCTTAAAAAAAGTATTATTTATTTTTATTTTTAAATTTGTACCACTGTTCCCTTTTTAAAGCTTGAACTGCATGCCCGATTTTCATCAACAAAGGCCTCCTCTGAAGCATATTTAGCAAGAAGGCACCTCTAATAATTTCTGAATACATATTCATCAGCTGTTTGGGTCTGTCAGTGGTTACCAGAGGTCATAGTCAAGTCGGCACCTTGTGTATCTATTCCGGTCGTAATTATGTGCAAGGAAATGCAGAAAATAGCTTGTATTTGCCCTGGAACAATAAATCCTTAGTGAGTCAAAGTGTTTCTGTTGCTCAACGCCGACTTATATTCTCACTGCTGTTTCTTGGCAGTGTTCCTTCAGATGTCCTGTGCTGTCCGGAAAATGTCTCCAGAATTCCGCGTTAAACAAGTAAAAACAAAACAAATGATATGAACTATTGAAACCTTTTAAATTTGTTGGCACAGATCCGTGTCACCATTGTACTTTCTTGTCGCAAAAGTCAGTCAGTTTAATTTAATATCTGAATATCTTTCCAGATTAGCACATTTTAAAACTGAAAAATGATTCCCTTACAGTTAATAAAGAAAAGGCAAAAAAAAAAAAGAAAACGTGTACAATAGCATACAGCTCTTGCCCTCTGACTGATTGAATCAGCCCCTCAGTGTCCCAGAGCCTGCTCCTGGATGCTCTCCCGATGAAATTAAATATTGCACTTTATTTGATTTACCCTCTGAAGTACTACATAAAATATAATATCATTCCGCATTATTACCTAATGTTTCCCAGTGGGGCTGAGATTCAAAATGTACTTTAACTGGGTTTATTAGTTTAGCTGGAATTGTGCTCTCCTGGTGCACAACAGCAGGAGTGAGCCTCCATATTGTAATCTGCTGTTGATGGCTTTATGAGGTCTTGCAAGGGAATGTTTGCAAACTTAGCTTTCTTTCTTTAGAAAAAAACCCACCTTTGTCTGCTAAATTGTCTTTGGAACTGTCTTTAATTGTGGATGTTGACATTTTAGAGCATTAACACAAACATTTTATAGCCATCTGTTTACTACAGAGGGATATCAAGCTTTGTTTGGTGGATTCTAGCAATATTTTACCTCATAAACCTCATTAACCATGAATCTTAAAGCAGAAGGTTTATGCTTATTAAGCATAATAAATAAATACAGATTTAGGCTTAATAGTTTCTGAATCAGAATAGACAATATGTGATCAAAATTACAAGTTCATTCTAATTTTGGGTTCGAAGCTTTTTAGAGACAACAGGCAACTAAGGAATGAAAAGAGCAGCACTAATATTGACAAGTATGATGTGACATTTAGATAACATAGTAAATTATGGGCATTTATTTTGATTGTGCAAAGTTAAATCAAAGAATCACTTAAGATCATAAAAAAATTACAGAAATTATAATGAATACTCAAGTATACATCTAGGATACATAATGATGTATAAGTAACTAGAGAAGTAGATGAAGAAATTCAATTTGTAACATATTTTAAAGGGGGGCGGGACTGGGGGTTCATGGGACTGTGCAGACAGTGAAATGAATGTTGTAGGATTTAGCTGCATTTCAAACACTGTCGTTTCAAAGTTGTGTTTGAGCAATAGGACCATCAGTGTATTACCAACCCATTAGCAATTATTTGTGCAACAACGCCAAGCATTGAGCCAAACCTACAATGGAGCAGTTATATGAGTGAAGGTTGCAGCCTCTGGACAGGCAAAGCTGCTGCAGACAAGCCGCCTTGGATTTTTAAACAGCAAAAAATGTGGTTCGTTTACTTTGTGGCGTGGCGCACAACACCACAAAGATTCTTAATAGTCCATAAAAGGAAAATAATATTTGTTTTAAGCAAGAAAAGGCGTCGCTTTCCTTTTGGCTAACAATCACGTGCTATATTGTGTCGCTATTTCACATTAAACCTTCCAAAGGTGTTTTGAGGATGGCGGTCGCTGTTGCAAAAATGCTCAAAAAGTTTAAAGGGTGTGAATAATTCCGTAGGGCTCTTTATATGATGAGGTCGGTAAAGAAAAGGAGGCTCGAGCTTCCTGGACCAGCATGCACCCCTTCCGAGACTCTCTGGCTGGGACTCGTTGAGTGACTGCTAATGAGACGCTGATGCCTCCGAACAGCACCGCGGACAGCTCCCGGCGTGGCTCCGCCCCCTTTTCCACAGTTCTCGCGTGTTGCCCGCCTCCGCCTCACTTCAGCTGCGGACACAACGCAGGGAGCCTCACAGAGCCCGTGGACCGACTGAGGCGAGGAGCGCTGGAATGTTGTGTCGCTGGGCCGTGGCGTCTGAGCAACACTTTGATGGAGTAAAACCCGCCGCTGCGAGTTAAAACTGATCGTTTTTATTGGGGGGGTGGGGGGGAGGCTTGGGAAGAGAACGAGAGCGCGCGCCCACGCGGAGACTGAAAAAATAAAAAAATAAAATAAAAATGCTCATCCAGCGCGAGCGCTGACGGTGTTCGCTTCACACAAATTCCAAGTTTGGAGCCATTGTTTGTTTCCCTCCCTTCTTGTTTCTGCTTTGGAGCCTGGAGCAACTTTGGTTTTCGTCGCGTTCGAACCTGCTGTTCGTTTTGACTCGGAGCGTGAAGAGCCGTGGACGAGATGGAGAGCGAGAAGTACTTGCCGGAGCTTCAGGCGGAGAAGGACTCGCTGGACCCGTCTTTTCAGCACTCCTTGCGGCTGCTGGAGCAAGGTGAGGGACCCGGGGGGCGAGCAGCTTCGCTAGGGGGGGAAACCGTGTGTGCTGCTGACACAGGGTTCATTTTCAACGCTCTGTACGGGTCCAAACCGTTGTATTTCAAAAATAATGTACAATTGAATATTAATAATGATAAAAAAAATATAAATAAAAATAAATCCATACGTACAGATATTCCCAGAACGTTCCGCTTGGTCTCCTTTACACACCTGGGCAATTAGGCGTCGTGGCTGAAGGTGAAGAAGATGAAGAAATTACTACACGAAGATTTGAATAACTACTTTATAACCTTTATAGAGTTCGTTGGTTATTCAAATGATGGAAGTTAAAGAGTGTGAACAAACTGAAGGTTGTTTTTTTTCCGGTACATTTTGTTTTTTCTGGGGTTGCTTGTTTGGAGAAGTACAAGGAATATCAGGCATGTTTTGTTTTCACAAAAAGACCATGGCTAAATATTTGTGTTTTGAGATACTGGCTAAAAGTTTCTTCCACTCACTAAAGATGACTGTTTTTAGTCTTGGAAAGTACTTATAATATATATATATATATATATATATATATATATATATATATATATATATATATATATATATATATACACACATAGGAATGTAGAGTATACATCATCACATTTCCCCCCCTGCCGTCTTGGAATATGTTGAAAACAAATCCTCTTATTTAAAGCTATGTGTTTTTCCCTGTCTATCTGAAGTCAGACAGGATATTCATGCATTGATGAACCGGAGAGGGAAGCAGCAGCAGCAGCAACTGTAGCTATGTTCGCAGATACTCTCTTCAATCCACATCCCCGGTCCCTCTGATTCTGAGCTGTTGGAAATTTGCAATCATTTCTTGACAAAAGGCCCTTGTGGAACCCCTTGCATCGCGAGAGGGCTGTTACATCACCTAAGTGGATCCTCAAGTACCACTCGTGGGCTTTATCGAGACTAGCAGGCCGCTGGTGGCTCTGGGAACGACAGAAGAAGGAGTTGTAGTCTGTCAGCAGTCTTGTTGCACTGTAATTAAGTCTCTGAAATCCCCCCTACACGCCTCCTGTCACCGTTATTATTCTGACAGCTGTGTCTCCTCCAGTTCTCACACATGGAGACCTCTGGGGGTCCATAAAAGGGTTCCCCAGGAAAGCCGGGCATAATTTGAATTTAATGTTGTTTAGTTTCTGGAGTCACAAACAGAATGACTTATCGCCGCGTTCCCTCGCCTGATCCTTCAGACCCGAGCCATATGGATGTTCGCCTGGCATCTGTAGCCGATGATCTCTCTTATGATCTTGTTCATTATTGCGATTAATTGATGAGCTGTCATGTGAAATGTCAGAGAGCTGCCAAAGAGAAAGCCCCCCTGTTCGCCTTGTCGAAGGGCCGCAGAGAAGATTGTAAAATAAAACAATAAAAGACGTGCATCACACCGTTCAGAGACGAAGCAGCAATATTCAGTTCACATGTGATAACATGTGAAACTTCTCGGAAGTTCGGTTGTACACCACAAAAACACAAAATCTTATCAAAAAGTCTGTTTTATCTAGTTTCATGCCAAGTTAACATGCTAAATGTTTTGTATAATTAAAACATGCAAGGAAAAGCAACATTTTCTAAAAGTAAGTGTGAAAAGAATAATCACTAAAAATAAAGAGATAAAAATAGCACTCTTCTCCAGTTTGTGACTCCGAATAGATGGGGAAAAGGTTATTTAAAAAAACCCATCTAATACAAAATGATCACATAAAAGTCGCAAAATTGCGATAAATTGTGGTGATTATGTCTATTTGTAACATGATGAAACATTTATTATAAATAAAAGAAACTATCACTGTTGCTACTGTAATAATATTACATATCGCTCTTCACTATTGGTTGACAATTTTACGCATGTCAAATATTTAGTTCTTTTCACATTGATACAAAGACGAGTGAGATAACACAGATGGATACTTTGAGGGTCGTTCTGTTTATGATATGTCCCTGCTGAACTCATCCATTTATAAATATTTGCAAAGAGCCATTCTGAAGTACCAAGGAATGAGGTTTAATTGAAAGTGAGTCAGAAATTCAGCATGTTTTAAAAGATGCTGTAGATAAAATAAATAAATAATGTAAAAAGTGATGAACGATTTAAACAGCGCTGCACAAATAGCAGCTAAATTTAGATACAGTTCTAAACTGAAGGTGCCTGTTGTGCTGAATGATTGTAGCAAATCTTCAGCACACTGCAAAAACACAAAATCTTATCAAGTTTTGTTAGTTTAGTTTCTACTGCAGATATCTTGGTGCACTTGGAACAAGACAAAAATGACTTATTTGTAACTTTTCAGCAAGATACGTGAGCTTGACTTAAGTCAATAATTCCTCAGACATTGATGAAAAAGTGCAAGATCCATTGGCAGATTATTTCACCTGTAACATCGGAAAATTGTGTTATAATAAGTGATATAATCTACTGGTGGAAATAGTACTTTTTCATTAATATGAAGGAATTGTTGGCTTAAAAACAGCTCCTGTATCTTGCTGAAGAGTTACTGGTAAGTTAGTTTTGTCTCATTTCAAGCGTAAGATATTTGTGCAAGAAACTGGATTAAAAATACTTGGTAAGATTTTGCTCTTTCACAGTGCAAATTTGCAGCTTGTTGTCAACGACGGTTCCAAAGCTGTAGGATCGTGAAAAGAAAGTTGTTGTTTTTTTTTATTACAAAGAGAAAATAGGAGAATTTCTTTACTTTGCCCAGCTAACTGTAGAAAGAGGTGGGGGAGAGGGGAATACCACTCTGGCACGGACAGAGAAAATGGTCAGTCACGTTTTCTCACTTCGAAATAAACAAGATTCAAATGGCAGCTGCAGACTTTTTGTGTCTTTTTATACATTTTATTTGAAAAAAATCATATTAGATACAAATATCCAGTCACAGCATCTGTGTAATTTAATTACAAAGATAAAAAAAAAAATACTTTGATTAAAATGTTTGGATAAACATGAATGCTTACTCCTAGTGAAAACATGAAATAATTCCAGTCCATCAAATTTTAGTGTTATTTTTTGGTGGATATATTTCTAATAAACTTGCTTCAATATTTTTAGTCTACTGTCCGTCTGGGGATATGCATTGAAAACTGGGTAAGGCTGTAAATGTTATAGTGCTCAGTGTTATCTATAATAAACAAATAAGCAACAAACAATCAGAATGTCCATCCAACATCAGTGAAAAGTTTTAATTAACACATAAATCAGAGAAAAATGCAGTTTATAGAGAACTTTTCACATCTTACAAAGGTTTGCATCAGCCAGTCATAATTGCAATATGACTTGACTTCTCATTCGAAATCCACTTTACAGACTATTGTTTATGATATTTTGTGGTGTTTGTTGTTTCACTGTACACAAGCAAAGTCCTATGAAAACAATTACTTTTCTAAAATAAAACATACCCATTATGAAATGTGCTGCTTCACTACAACAGTTACATACAGTCGATGCTTAACTGGAGCAGTGCTGGTGTTCTGTGTGTTTTACCCGTTTCTCTGTTTGGAGGATGACAGGAAAACATGAGCAGATCATTTTTAAACTCCTATAGAGATCATAACAAACTGAGGAGAAAGCCAACTACTTGACAGGTGTGTAAACTCTGCATTTACTGGAACCAACAGAGGAACAATTGCACACAGGATGACTAATTCTTATAATGAACATTTTTTCCATGATGATAAAAAGATAATCAGCCAGGAATACATATAAAAGTGTATAAAAATGTAGATAAACTGAAAAAAAAGCTAAAAAGCATTACATGAAGCTGCTCCAGATTTCAAAGAAACTCTCTCCTCTCTGTTTGGGTGGATGCTGCAATAACGCCTCTAATGACTGTGTGTGTATCAGTTCCAGATGGGAGTCTGGTTCCAAATGACATACTATGGGTAATGCATCTTTCAGTAGATGATTCATTTAGAGTAAAAGTAGATCGATTTCACCCAAAAAACCACATCAAATCTCGTCGGTATTCGTTATTTAAATCTGGGTTTTAATATGTATGTTTTTGCTAAAAGCTCAGATCGTCCTCTGACAGAAAGAGTGTTGAAAAAACAGTATCCAACAAGTGCTGACAAGCCTCCGGAACACGACAAAAAATGATCAAATACCAGGGAACAAGTTTGATCCAGAACAAGTGAAGAGGAAAAAAAGGAGAGAAGTCACTGCCTTTTTAAATTTAAAAAGTTACCCGTGACACATGTTCTTCACGTTTCCCTTCCAAAAAAGTTGTTGTTCCCACTGGAGGTTTGGGGATATTCGGGGCAAACACTTCAGTTGGACGTGGCGTCGGAATTAATCCATGACATTTCCTAAAGTAAGCAGAAGTCAGAAATTTGGCCGAAAAACTGTAAATACCGTTATCGCTGTCTTACACAGCAGATGGAACACGATGCGGCTTAATAGAGCTTCTTCTCCTGCCATCTCGCTGATGAGTTCTGGCCTCGATTACGCAATTGGCTGGGGATGCAAGAAACAGGAGGGGTGGGAGGGGACGGTGGCCCGGTTACTCTGCTAACTTGTGTGCAAATAAGCAAAAGGGAGATTACCCCAGGACTGGAGAGGGTTCCATTCAAAGAAAAAAAAAAAAAGAAGAAGAAGAGGATTGAGAAAAGTGAGGCAGGGCATTGTGTTGGGAGCTCGGGGACGAAGCATGCTGCTTTGATAAGTTTGGTGGCGTACTGAGATCCCCTCTCCCACTCGCGGCGTATCTCTGCTCTGTGACAAGCCCCATAGAGTCGGCAGCAGGCACACGGAGCTGGAGGAAAAAAAATCTTAAGCTGAAAGAAGAGAGAGCAAAAAAAAAACCCTCAGCAGCATACTAATGAAGAGCTTTCAGGTATGAAAAAAAAACTGTGCAGCATAAGGTGCATTAAATTAATTCCTGCCTCCATGCAGGCCTGTAAATAACATTTATATCCTCCGTGTCAAGGACTGATGCTCATTTATGACGAGAAAAAAAA